AACTTACTTATTCATCGCAGTCATTTGCTGTAGAATAGTAACCGTCAATAAGTGCCTCGTTGCGATAACAATCAATATATCTATTTGATATTGAGCAAAGTTGCAATCTATATAGCTGGTACCCTATACGGGTAATTTCTTTCCCTTTTCCTNACCTCTTTCTAACCACCAGTTCCAAACTTCCTAATATACTCGCCATCATCTCACGTTCATAGCCCCCATCCAGTGGTATTGGGGAATGCACTCAAATTCAAGCATCGACTACAGCACCAATCCAGTCGTTTGTGCAAAACGTTGCAACCGAGTTGAGTACTGCTCCGTCGATCGAACGTTCTCACGTTTCTCTTCGTCCATCGGAGCCCCAAACGGTGACATCGGGGCATGCGGATACGTCAGAACAGCCAGCGCCACCACAATGCGGGATCGTGGCAGTCACTGAATCCAAACGTCTGCAAGTGAGTGTGATCAAACGAAGATTAGTTTACAGAAACTCCGTATTCCGTATTCTGTCAAATACTCAATGTTCGATCAAAAGATATGATCTCGTTCGCATAGAGAACCCTGATTCTAGATTCCAGAATATATGCTATAAAAGATAAGAACGCACATTCAGAGGTGAAAAGTTTTTTCATTGATTCCTTTTCTGTCCTGCGCAGATCATATAAGGTGAATTTTCAAATTTTCAGTCAATCAAAGATGTCAGTGTTTGTTTGGGAGGGAGCAGTTTGTCATGTGTATTCACAGACTCATCAATAATGAAAACATCTAATAAAGACAGATTATCTACTGTGGCTTCATCCTAAGAAAAAAATTCTCGTTCACCTATCCGACTCCAGTTTAAAATGCAGCTCGCATTAGCTTTCACTGTACCACACCACCCTATTCAATATGGAAGCTATTAACATTTGCTCACATCCAATCTATGTACAAGGCAAATAGCGGTCCATGCCATCCAACTGTCGCAGCCGAAGAACGATTTCACTTATGAGTCAATACTCTTTGATTGTAATGTTTCGGTGACCTAATGGTGTCGAATATGTCGCATCACTCCCATTTGATTGTCTGAAAGTTTTCTGCTTTTCCTGTTCTGCATGATCAGTGTGAACTTTCCATAAACGACAAACGCAGCATTTCTGTTCCGAAATTCTTCTCGGTATGACCTCAAACCTTGTGCTGAATCACGGTTTTTACCCACATATGCGCTTATAAAGGAGGTTAAAAATCACTTGTTTTATGATTCACATCGATACCTAGTTCACGAAATGTGAAACCTTGAAAACGGTTGAATATCCTAGAATCAAATGTTGTCTACTTGTACTTTTCAGTTTCCTCTTGAACTCAGGTGCATCACTTTTGGTTCTTTTATTTTGAATATCCACTTGATAAATCACTAAAAAAGTTCAAACCAAACGATAAACCGAGAGCAATACTAAGAAAACAAAATGCAAACTAAAAGTAAATTAGTTTGGCAGAAGAGTACATGATTGCACAAAGAATGTCTAAGAAAGCGAGAGAGCGACCGATCAGAGGGCCGCTATTTGATACAAATGGAAGTGGACAATTAGAAAGCAGTAATGAGGATGTTAGCTTCATTTTTCCGAAAGCCTTCGTTTTCTTCCGATTTCTTCTGCTAATGTTTTTTCTGCACGTGGTGGGATTCTGATCATCTAGATGGAAACACAATGAAACGCGTAGTGTTGTCTTTTTTGAGAAATCGGTTCATAGTTTTCTGGGTCAGAAATAACAATTATCATTCCTCGCTTCTCCATCCCTCTTCCCCCATGGTTTTATTTTCGAACGAATACAAAATGTCTCCTACGTCAATACTCCTCATCTTCATTTCCCAATTAAGCTTCCCTATTCTTCGTTTTTCATTTATTGCATAGGAGTATTGAAGGAGTTGATTTGTTTATATCATGAATTCGTCGTGCCAACGAGGCATGAGTTAGAGCTGGGAAGCACTGGACAGCTATTTTGATGTGGTTGGGTTTCATCCGAAATGAAAATCTATCTACCCAACTGGGAATCGAATCCGGGACCTCACAGGTAGAGAGGAAGTATACTACCCACTCGGCTATCAGGTAGCTGATCAGACCGTTTCTCATTGTGAATTTACACAATAGCACAACCCGTCTATGTGAGGTTGTCGTGAGTATTGCTCCTCGCTCATCTCAGCACCAGCCTCTAGGGTAATGACTAGGTTTGGAACTTTCACAACCTGAGAATCGGTCTGCTCAGCTGCCCGGTGACCGAGTGGGTAGTATGCTTCCGTTCTACCTGTGAGGCCCCGGGTTCGATCCCCAGATGGGT